ACAGGTCTAGGTCTGCTTCTAGCAGGAAAAACAAGAATTTAACTAGTATGTGTAACGCGACTGCGATTGTGACTCCAATAAAAGTTGATGGATTAATGCAGATCAAGAATAATAAACGACCCAATATTAATAATGAAAAGTCAGACCCCCTCAAACAGCAGCTGAGACATTGAAGACGTATCGTAATGACGGGTCAATTATTTTTCATAGAGTAATGAGATTAAAACCTTCGAACTGGTTTCGAGCATGATATCGAGTTAATAAGACAGCTACTAAACCAGCTAACGCCTATGGATATCTTTGTAATCTCCTTGAGGTTTTTTGGGGAGCAGTGACTGCTTTAGCTAGTGTAGCAAAACACACGAGGAAGAATAATGAATTGTAGATGCTGATATTTATAAATTAACCGAGGCACCTTTCAACACACGAGCATTCACAACACGTGATGAAATATTTGACCCAAAATCGTAATCCAACCAAAATTCTTTTTTAGTTACAGTAGAACTTGATGAAATGGTAGGTGACTTAGACAAATCATTTGATGTTTCAAGCGACACAGCGGGAGCTTCTGTGCAAGAAACTGAATGATTACGTATTGAACTAGAAAAATTCTGTTCTATAGATTTAGCGTGAGGACGGTTCGTTCCATTGACGTTAATTTGAACTTCTTCCAGATCAGCGTTACTTTCCATAATGAACAAATTCAATTTCTCTACAAAAAAGAAACGCTAAATGAATATACTCAAATTTGCGGGAAGTTTAAAATAAGCAGCCATGAGGGAAAATTAACCGACATATTTGACAGGACAATATCATTTGGGAATTTCATATAGAAGACTACAAACCTGTCGGTTTTTAAGCTAACTAAACCCTGTCGTATATGACCTAAGAACACTGGTTGAAATTATCCTATTTTTAAACCTTACCGAATTTTAAGTCATTATTCCGGCAACCAAGGGATTAAGCATCTGCATGATACATCTTTAATTTCTAGCCATTAAAAAGATTCCTTGTGACAATCGCAACCGCTAAACGTCCTCAGCCTGTTTAACATTTAATGTATCAAAATAAATCACATACACTAAGAAGTTAAAAAAGTGCAAAGTAACGGGAATTTCATTGTACTTTAAGTACGAACTGCAATAGTTGTGGATGTGGATACATAATACATGTCCCAACCATATCAGTGGATAAAGATCCACTACTTCCTCAATTGGATTGTCATATTAACTTAGTACTATCCACCTAACCTCAGAACTGCTAACTTAATGGTTCCAACATAAAGGAGCATTGTTTCAAAACATCTATGAGCGAATACCAGTGACCTACGAACATCCTCTGTTTTAAAAGGATACGTTCCAACCATTAACTAGAACGAAGCAAACTGCTACAGAGTAAACCCGTCCTTTAGTTGGCAAGCGGACATCTCGCTTATCCCACAAACTTATATGTGGCTAGTCCTACGTTGTAGCTGACTAACTGACTTACGCCACAAACAACACAAGTTAGCAAAAGCCGAGTGAACTTTCTGGGTTTGTGCCGAGATTTCGTCAAATAAAGGCCTATCAGGACTGAAGAGATCCTTAAAATAAGTGAGCTGGTCGACCCACTCAATTACTTCACTCTTTATCATTGGTTCAGGTGGCAGTGCGAATCTATTTTGAAGTGACATTGTGCGTTTAGATGAAAAGAAACACATCCCAGACATTTTTGCACTCTTGTCCAAGGCTACCAGTAGAATATGCATCTTGTCAATATCTTTAGGAAATATAACTATATCATCTGTTTAGAGTAAGTTCAAAACAAAATCTCCTGATAAATCGATTCTTGGTAGATTAAATGAGGAAAGTGTTATCTTCCAAAGATGTCTATGACAGTTAAATGAAAAATGGACGGGCACTTCCATAAAATCGAAAAATGGAACTGTGACTAGTAGTCGGTAGGTATGTTTGTGTTTCAGAACTTGATGACGAGCGAATATTTGGTATACGCGACTACTCCAATTGCGAAAACTAGAGCTCTACCATTAGTTTAAAAACTATGATGTCGTCGCCTTTGATTCTTCTATATGACAATGGGAAAAGGTTAAGTTCAGCCTGTAGTGGTAAATAAATTTCCAAAATAAACAGTTTTGTTAGTCACTGACATGGATGCCCAACACATAATTTTCAGTGATTACACATGGCTGAAGGTCCTCGATCACGCAAGCACACCAGATCACCAATCAGGAAAATTATGCATAAATATAGGAACAAAAATGAAACCAGTGGGAGACACAACCAAAACAAAGAAGTAAACAGTGACAAATTTAAGGTCAATGAGAACCAATCAACGTCCAGGTGTACAGAACAAACTGTGAAACGCATATGGAGAAATTCGAACACTTCACTTCTATCTGAAGTTTGTGCTGATGATGTCGTTCAGAAGAACAATGAAAGCCTCACGACCAAACCATCCAGCTCATAGAACAAAACTCCATCAAAAACACCAGATCACTAATGAGTACGTTGTGTTATGCACTCCTTGCAACCATTACCCAGCTTGAACAAAACGCTTCCCGACGTATTGACAGCCTTCCAAATATATCTTCGAGACACTTTATTTCTGACTTCTGATTTGGCTGGGTTGGTTTACTTTCATTATAAAGGTACTATGTGTAAAGGCATTGTCGAACTCCGAATACCTTTGACATCCTTATCATGTTGCAGAATATCGAAATGTTTTCTAAATAGTGTGATAATAAATTTCATAATAGACCTTCTACATTTAAGTCCTCAGACAACAACTGATTATTGAAAACTAAATGTGATTACTCGTAAAAATTCATTAACCCTGCCACACATTTACAAAATCTCGAAGGCACTGGCGGCCGCCTCATAGTTTTCAACCTCATACTTTTAATCAAGTTACTAGCCGACTGAGGCGCACCCAAAAGACAGAACGGGATTTGTTACTGTAACCGGGTTATACAAGTTCCATACGATACTTGAAAGAAAAACCTTAAAAATCATATGCAGCTTCATACATGAAAATAAGATAGCTTCGAACATTGAAAAAACTCTGAATTCGATGGAAGGAGTAGGAGTGTAAAGGCGTGACCCACAATTGTTGATGATTGAGGGGAGATCATGTTTTTTGTTACTTTTTTGTAAACACACAAGTGAAAGTAGATGTGGGATATATTTATGACCGGTTGATAGTTTTTTAAGACATACCTATATGCTGGGTGATCCATGCTAATGTACATTGAGGTTGAGCGGAAGTCCTGGGGATATTTGATAAATGCCCTTAAACTTGTAGGACGAGGTTATAAGTTATTTTGGCTTGGTGGTACAGCTATAGTCACTGTCAGGCGATGATAGCCTATTCCATAGTAAACTAAACTGAACTCTGAAAAAGCTTACAACATATCAGTATCTGATGTGGAACTGTTAGTAGTGCTTATGTTGGATCTATCTTTGCTACCATAAAAATGGACCTAATCCCAAAATCGTCGATCAATCATGATGCAAATACCTAACCTATTAGATCTAACGCGGAAGTCATATCATTATCTATACTTACTCATCCTATCGTGAGAGATGGCGTTGAGATTGTGGATCTGGATCAGTAATTCTTATTCTCGGTATGAAAAAATTGGAAATCGAAACCTGACATATGCAAGATTTTATTTTATACTCATTTTAGTAGAACTGGATTCAGTATTAATTTGCGACATAGCACAAATTATTTGTGACTTGAGCTTCATCAATTCATTTATAATCTTAGGTTATCTCAGCTTAAAATTTTTTTGGAAAACGGAATTTCTGCTGAGTATGTATTGTATAAAATACAGAGCCTATCGTCAATGAGTAGTTGAGAATCCCACTAAAACTGGAAGAGATATTTACCACCTCCACATTGTTCCCCATGGATTATTTTTAGTTGATGTCAACGAGTTGCTTGTAACTAAAGTTTTATTAGTTAAGCTCGTCAGTTGGACAAATCCCCACCTGTATGTTTCTTAAGAACCCATTTAGTGTTCCGCAAGTGTGCTCAGATTATGTCAACATTTCTAAAAAATTTTAAGAAATGATAGTTGTGTTTGCGCTTTTACTATTTAGTTTTGTGCTTGTCCTTTTATTTTTTCCTCATTCTTTCTTCTGCACACGGTCTTTTAATTCTGCACTGAAAAAAATTATATGTAGTGGCTGTGCTTCGTTAATTAATCACCCTCGAACCGTTATCGTATAATCTTCAACGATGTTTGAAATCAGAAGGCAAAAAGAAGCAGCTACTACAGTTTATTTAGTAGATAATTCGGACCAGACAGCAGAGAGGCAAAATGAATGAGCAAGCGAACTACGATTGTAGCAGTAGGAAGTAGTAGTAGTGGTAGTAGTTGTAGTTGTGAATGGGTGCAAATGTACACATATATATATGTATAGGAAAATGGATGAGTCAGCGAACAGATTAAGCAGTTAATAATGAAGCTAGCAGAATGAATACATGCGTAGGTGCTAAACAATGTTCAAGCATATGTATTTCATACAAGCATAATAATAAAGATAGTACAACAAGTTGTTATATCATGGATGACTTTGTCCATTAAATAGGTCAACAAAAGACATTGACTGAACTAAACTCGATTGCACGTGAGTCACTATAATAGCTCCCCCCTGCAAACAAAGATATATGGAAAAATGTCTGTGTTTGCACAAAAACATAGTGAACTGAGTAGGGTAGTTACAATCGTTTGAAAAAAAATGGATTGTACAAAATTAAGATGAAGTTAGTGTGTGCTGTACATTTGGTTTGCGCCCGCCCGTGAGGTTATATAAAATAATAGCAATAAATAGAAGGAATGCGGTATTTTTTTACATTTTAAATAAAAATTATACGTGTAAGTGTAGGGGTACATATGATATGTTGAGTTTTATAGCGTTTAACATGAAATTAGTAATGCCTGTGTATACAATGAAGTGGAAGTTATAATTAATATTTTAAATAGTAGAAAATTATTAATAGAAGATTGCAGCGACATAACGTTGGGGCCATCTTACCCTTCGACCAGACTTTGTGGTTACTGGATTCTCTTTGTTTGTGCTCGTCGATGTCGTTGATGATTGGAACTGACGTTTCGATGATTCAACGGTTTTCGCAGTATCTGTATGTACTGGCTGATCGCAGGCTTCGATGAAAGCTGGTTTGACTCGGTCGATGCTAATTACATCCGTTTTTCCAGCTTTTTCTACCGTAATAGTTTTGTCGTCTCTTTTAATCACCTTAAATGGACCATCGTAGGCCGGTTGTAAGGGACGTTGCACATTATCCCTTCTGATAAACACATGAGTACTGTCACTTAGTTGTTTGGGTATGTACACACGGCGTTGATGTTGTCTCGGAAGCGTTATCCTTAGACTACTCATATGCTGCTTAAGACGCTGTACATAGTCCGCTATATCAGTTGGAACGCTTTCACCTGCAGTGAAAAACTCTCCTGGCAGACGTAATGTGGTTCCATAAACCAATTCTGCTGGGCAGCATTCTATATCTTGTTTGATTGTTGATCTTAAGCTCAACATGACTAACGGTAGCTTGCTGGCCCAATCATTATTGCTGATGACAGCTGTAAGAGAAGCTTTAAGTTGCCGATGCAATCTCTCTACCATACCATTAGACATCGGATGGTAGGATGTTGTGCGAATTCGTTTGATTCCGAGTAGTTCTGTGAGTTGTTGGAAAAGGCGGCTCTCGAATTGAGCTCCTCTATCGGTTGTGATATTAGTAGGTACGCCATAATGGGAAATCCAATGCTCTACTAGGGTTTTTGCGATAGTTTCGGCTGTAATATCTTTTATGGGCACAGCTACAGGCCATCGTGTGAATCTATCAATGCAAGTGAAAATGTAACTGAAACCATTCGAAACCGGTAGTGGTCCTATAATATCGATATGTACATGCTCGAATCTGTTATCGGGATGACGGAAATGACCTACTGCGGAACTGGTGTGGCGATGTATCTTAACTCTCTGGCATTTTATACACGCTTGCGTCCAATTACGAATATCCCGATTCATACTTGGCCATACAAAACGTTCGCTGATTAGTTTGATGGTGGCCTTTATTCCGGGATGCGAAATATTGTGCATGGCTTCGAAAATGTTTCGCCTTAGCGGCTTTGGAATAAATGGTCTTGGTTGACCTGTAGAGATATCGCAGATGATGCTTACTTCTTCCAATGGAGTTTCTTTGAGAACTAACGAGGTTGTATTGGCAGACTTTAGTCTGTTTAACTCGACGTCGATATTTTGTAATGCTGCTAACTTGTGATAATCGATTTCGGACTGGACGAGAGCGTTGACCATCGTTCTGGATAGCGCGTCTGCCACTTCGTTACTATTGCCTTTGATATACTGTATGTTAGACGTGAATTGGGAAATAAACTCTAATTGTCGGATTTCCCTCGGCGAGTAGTTGTCCTGTTTGGCGTTCAATGCTTTTGTGAGGGGTTTATGGTTTGTATATACTGTGAAAATGGTACCCTCAATCATATGTCGGAAATGTTTTATTGCCAAGTAAATCGCTAGGAGTTCTCTCCCGAAAGTACTATATCTTGTTTGTGTCGGATTCAGTCTTTTCGAAAAAAATGAGAGCGGTTCCCATATGCCATTTACTAATTGTTGTAAAACGGCTCCTACCGCTACGTCTGATGCATCCGTCATGATAGCTAACGGTGTTTCGCTCTTTCGTCTAGTTAGTGTCACTTCTTTATTTAGTGCTTTTTTAGCGTTCTCGAATGCTTGAATTGCGTCTGGTGATAATTGGAATGTCCGTGCGTTTCCGCGTAATGTATCTGTTAGTGGTTGCAATATTGACGCGCAATTCGGGATAAATCGTCTGTAATAATTTATTAACCCGAGAAATCGGCGTAACTTTTTCCATGAGTCGGGTAGGCAATAATTCCTAATGGCGTCGACTTCTGTTGCTATTGGTGTGATGCCTTGAAAAGTTATATTGTGACCTAGGAACTGTAAAGATTCTTTTCCGAATTCACACTTTTCAATATTTATAGAAATGCCGTGTTCTCTGAGTCGTATAAATAATTGCCGTAGTTGTTGTATATGCTCATCCTTAGTGGTGCTAGCTACTAATAAATCGTCGATATACGCGTATACCCCAGGTAAACCTCTAATGACCTGGTCGATAAACCGTTGAAAGGTTTGTGCCGCGTTAGTCAGTCCAAAAGGCATACGCAGGAATTCATATAGCCCAAATGGGGTTGTTACTGCTGTCTTCGGTATGTCTTGCGGGGCAACAGGGATGTGGTAGTATGCTCTGACTAAGTCGATCTTCGAGAAGATAGTAGTGCCCTCTATGCTGTAGGTGAAATCATGAATGTGCGGTATAGGATATCTGTCAGCTACCGTTTGTTTGTTTAGTGCTCTGTAATCCCCACATGGCCTAACCTCTCCATTCTTTTTCGGGGCCATACGTAGCGGGGATGCCCACGGGCTGCTCGATGGCCTTATAATGCCTAGCCTCATTAGCTTGTCGAATTCCTGTTTTGCGATGGCTAGTCTTTTGGGATCTAGCCTTCTTGGTCTTGCATTTATTGGTGGACCATTCGTTATGATGTGATGCTGAATAGAATGTTTGAGATCAGCTTTATTGTATGTTACTTTTACGAGTTCAGGGAACTCCTTTAACAACAATTTATATTGATCACCACGACTTTTATCTATCACAAGGTTCATTGAAACGGCTTCCGTAAGTATTCCTCTTATCGAAGTGGTTTGACTGCCGTTTATAAGTCTGTGTCGTCTAGAGTCTACTAGCAGGTCAAAGTTACATAAGAAATCTATGCCTATTATGGGCATCGATACGTCTGCTATGACAAAGTTCCAGCGGTATGAAGCGCCACGTCCAAAATCTAGGGACAATTTACGTTTACCATATGTCTTAATATCTGATTTATTTGCTGCTCTTAGCACTAACGACGGGTTAATGTTTTTTCTTTCCTCGTTAAATGGAGGTACTACGCTAATTTCCGCTCCAGTGTCAACTAAGAATTGTGCGCCAGTGGTCCGGTCTTGTATATAAAAGAGGCGACTATTTTCAGGCATTATGTGTGTTGATGCCGTTGCCATTGATACACGTGGGTATCGGTTACCAGCCCTGTTAAATCCACAAGGTTGCAGGCATTTTCTAGCCCTGTAGCCGAACATTTGATGATACCAACATATCGTGGGAGTTGTGCGTCGTCTAGAAGTTGACCGGGTCCTTTCATGCGAGCGATCTCGCGATGACCTTCGTGGCTCTTCTCTCTGCGTTAGTTCTGTGAGCTTGCGGCATAAAACATTTATTTCCCTCTGTAGAGTATCAAGTCTATCGTCTACCGTCACGTTGTGTAGTAGAGGGCTTGCTTGCTTGCTTCTTTCGTATATTCTATCGGCTATCTTTGCTATATTGTCTAAATCAGCATCCGTATCTCCCACAGCTAGGATCTGCTGTATATTTGCCGGGAGTCGGCGGAGCCACAGTTGATAAAAGAGATTATTGTCAATGTGTCTATCGCCAAGTAGACTTTTCATATAATTTTTTAGTTGTGATGGGGTTCTATCTCCAATTTGTACTTGGTTAAGTTGTTCGACGGCTTGTTGGTCACTGAGAGAGAGAGTTTTAATTACAGCCTCTTTTAGCACGTCGTATGGTTTTTCTGTGTCTGGTTTTGCTAGTGCCTCTCGAACGCTGTCAGCTACTTCGTCTGGGAGTAGTGTGCTTGTCAGGCCGAACTTATCCTTTTGCAAAAGAATGCGGTTAGCGAGAAAATAATTTTCAAGTCTTATAAACCAAAGTTTTGGGTCTGCGATTTTAAAAGAAGGGGCAGGGAGATTAAGAGACCTCACGGACGAGGCTTGCTGTACGCTTGAAACTGTGTTTTCATAAGACATGCTTATAAAAATTAAGTAGCACACGAAAATAATTTAACAGTCACAAGGAAGAATAGACGGACGAAAACAATGATAATAAAAAAATGGCACAATTTATAAAATGGAACAGACTTACTAAATTGCACCAATATATCAATTGTTTATGGATAATTGTTATTTATTATGATTATAATCGTCACGTTTAATCATGTTTGCGAAATAATGTAAGTGTAATTAAAATAATAATATAAATCCACAGTTGTAATTATAGTTCATTTGATAATCCAAATTGAGATGAAAAGAATCGGATTTTTGGGATTTGATTATTTCGTCAAAATTCGCTTCCCGTTCTCACGTCGGGATTACCAATTCTGTAGTGGCTGTGCTTCGTTAATTAATCACCCTCGAACCGTTATCGTATAATCTTCAACGATGTTTGAAATCAGAAGGCAAAAAGAAGCAGCTACTACAGTTTATTTAGTAGATAATTCGGACCAGACAGCAGAGAGGCAAAATGAATGAGCAAGCGAACTACGATTGTAGCAGTAGGAAGTAGTAGTAGTGGTAGTAGTTGTAGTTGTGAATGGGTGCAAATGTACACATATATATATGTATAGGAAAATGGATGAGTCAGCGAATAGATTAAGCAGTTAATAATGAAGCTAGCAGAATGAATACATGCGTAGGTGCTAAACAATGTTCAAGCATATGTATTTCATACAAGCATAATAATAAAGATAGTACAACAAGTTGTTATATCATGGATGACTTTGTCCATTAAATAGGTCAACAAAAGACATTGACTGAACTAAACTCGATTGCACGTGAGTCACTATATATATACTCTCCTCTTGTGGTCCTTGAATTTTGGAGCTAGAATGGAATTGACGTTTGTTTTCGAAATCTTAAAATTTCTTGCCTGTGCATTTAGAATGACAGAACTGAAGAGACGAACGTATTTCTTTGCACTTCGATTCTGTGGTGAAATTTTCCGACCGGTATGATGGATTCGATACTGCGAGTCAGCAAAAAAGTCGTGAAAAGCATGACTGAGCAAATATAATCGTTTTTTATTGTGAAGTAAATTACTAGAAGTTGTAAATAACTATAGCATCTAATCATTGGGATCGCCCAAATTAATGTGATCTGAATTACAAAGTTTAATATTACTTGCGGCGAAATGAATAGTAATTTTACGAACCGCCTGGATATGTCTAATTTCAACACACTTTAGAAATAACTTCAATACACTAATGTCTGTAGGGCAGAACATTTTGTTAAATTACGGCTCATCACGGTCAAGTGGGATGTCACGAACCAATGCTGTCGATGCTAATTTATTATGCAAAATACCTCTTCAAATCGTGTTTGTGAAGTTGAATTGGTTTCACTTCCTACCGAGTAATCCCATTACAAGCAAAACGAGACGATTTGCAAAAACGAAGCCTGCTCATGACCCTATAAAATCTATAAAAATAAAAATCAGCTGAAATAAGCTTGATGAGGAAGAAGAGATAGCCATTTGTGTATCAGAACGCCGTTTTCAGCACAGGAGAGTGTTTGTCTGACGACGAGCTTAAAGTGAAGTTAAGAGTTTTGTGATTGGTGGAAAAATGATTTCACGATCTTCAATGGAGTGTTGAAAGTGTCGCACAGATCAATTTATGGCTGATAGTTCTCGCGGACAGTGTGGTACTTCGATTCGGAATGCAGCAACCGTCTCGAGAGGAATGCCAATG